AAAAAAAAAAAAAAAAAAAAAAAGAATGATGGGCTAGGTGTGTACGAAGTGTCGGAGTATTCCGAGGGGCTTTAAGCATTCACCGTAATTTTTGGTCACACCTCACACGGTACCGGCTGTCCGAACACCATTTACTGAACAGGCAGTCCTCTGCTCAGTGGGCATTCGTGGCGCTCCTGGCGAACACCAGCCTACCACATACGTGTGGGGTTTCTCTAGGCACTGTGTTCTGTCACCGGTGACATCGTTGAGCTCACTTCCTCCCTGGGGCTAAGTATCCGTGTGTGATTTAAACGTGGCTTCTAACGTGCTCATCCTGAAGTCGTCTAGAAATCCACTGGCAGAAGCCGTGTAGACGAAGGAACACGGGCGGCACGTAGGTTCAGGGCAGAGGGAAAAGGAAGATGCCAGTGACTCAGGCGGAGAACCAGGGAAGGAGGAGGCACAGAAAGATCTGAACTCGCTGCCTCTTGAGAGGATGGCGCTAGGCTCCATGTCTAGGGGAAGCGCCTTCTAGAATGTAGACCAAGGAAGATGGGGCAGTTATCTGCAAGCGAGGCGGCCTGGGTGGAGGGGCAGTGGGTCTACTTGTTACATACAGAGAGCGTCTAACATGTGAGAAGATTCCAAGGCACACCTAGACTGGGGTGGACGCAGAACAGAGGTAGGAAGTTAGAAGTGAAAGCGGGGCTCGTGCAGGCTCCGGGGCGGGGATGGTGTTTTACCACAAACACGCACATCGCAGGGGAGCGGGATCTGCCTTCCAAGCCGAGACCAGTGTGTGAGACCAGGCTTCTCCGCTAGGACGGGAGGGACCACCGCTCTGGGTCACGCAGCCACTACTGCGGGTGGCAGCAGCAACAAGCTAACTTGCGGTGTTCGAGCCCCGCAATTTCCAGCATGAAGTCAGAACCCCGCGTGCGAGCTGGCGCGCTGCAGGCCTCGCAGGCCCTCACCTCCCTGTCCCCTCCCTCTCCCGCCAGGAATCCGAGGGCGTCTCCTGCCACTACTGGTCGCTGTTCGACGGGCACGCGGGCTCGGGCGCCGCCGTGGTGGCCTCGCGCCTGCTGCAGCAGCACGTGGCGGAGCAGCTGCAGGACGTCGTGGACATCCTCAGGAACTCGGCCGTGCTGCCGC